TTCCAGATGCTGATGGTTGATCCATGGTTGCTTTCTGTTCTCTAAAGGCCCTTGCGGTTCTGTTTAGCGAGCTTCTCAATCTCAAGATTAAGAGGGACTAATGATTCTCCCTTCTTAGAGCGTGTATGCATAAACAGATCTGACCTGCAAGGTTAGCAGACAAAAATCCTACGAAAAACTAAAACAAATCGCTAAAATTAATTAACCCTTAAATCTGACACCGTCCCCGGCAACGGCGCCAAAAACTGATGTGTGTTTTCTCGCACTTAAAAAAAATTGTAATAAAGTGGTGTAAGTACGAGTATCGTCTCCACAGGGACGGACAAAATGGAATTAAAGATTAACTAAATTCAGCGATTAAAAATGAAATAAATAAATTAAAATGCGATGTGCGAGATTGGTTGGTTGAATTAAAAGTAAACTAATGCGAATGAACAAATTGAATAAAGGTTGGTTTCTTCTTAATTAACGACGAAGGGAACAGAGATTGATTCCGGGGTAACCAGATTTCTGGCAGATCAGGCCTACTTACATGAATTTAATTGAATTGAGCCTAGCTAATCATTACTAAGTTCTTACCGCTCTCGCGGCGTAGAGTACAATAATTTAGGGGACCGGGCTGATCTCTCATGCGACAGGATCCTAAATTATTGCCAAGACGAGCGAGCTTACGGCCCCTTAATCGCTACTAATCTCTTAGCGAACGATTAAGTGTGTGTGAATGTGTCCTAGAACAAATTAGATCTCTCTTAATTTATTCTATAAGCAATTGTAATTCTAGTGGCCATCTAGGTTACAAGAGATATCAGTTAAATTATTCAAACACAAATTAAACGACATTCATGCAATTAAACCAACAAAAATCTAGCCATACATCATGATTAACCCCTTCATCGATCCCAAATCCCTAATTAAAACTACTCACAATTCATAATTGAAGAATCAATAGAATTGGAATAAAAAGAATTAATTGTCATTGATTAAAAAGATGAAACTGACAAAGAATCTCAGGGTCTTGAACAAAATAGCGGAAAAACACTGTAAAACACGTCCCTAAGCCTCTCTCTAGGTTTCTGAACCAGAAAACGGGGTTAGGGAAGCCTTATTTATAGAAAACAACGTGTTTTGGTCGAAAAAGGACAGATCCGCGGTACGCACAGAGCCTACGCACGGCGTGCGTTGCGTCCGACGGACCTGCGCGAAAAATCGGGCAACGCACGGCGTGCGTTCACCTATGCACGCCCGTGCGTTGCTGCCAGTAGCTCCCCTTCATCGAATTCCTTGAACGCACGGCGTGCGTTCCCATACGCACGACCGTGCGTTGCTGCCAGTAGCTCCCCTTCGAAAATAATCCTTGGACGCACGGCGTGCGTACCCGAACGCACGGTCGTGCGTTGCTCTTTGCTGTTCCTGACCGCTACTGCCACGCACGCACGCCGTGCGTCCCTGTACGCACGCACGCCGTGCGTCCCTGTACGCACGGCCGTGCGTGGCCTTTCTTCTTCATTTTCTTCGGTTTCTTCCGTTTTTAAGCCTCCGTTTGATCCCTCGATCGATCCAGTAACTCTTTCTTCATCAAAACATCATCGTGAATCTCTCGGTGGCCTCCAGAAACTCCGAATTCACTCTCGAATGCTTCTTAACTCGTCCCGATCACTTCTCAAATGCCGATGTCAGGTCTCAAAAACCTGATTTCAACTCTGAAAAATACCAAAACTCATACCCACGCCCGGTACACATGACTTGAGCTAAAATTGAGACTTACGACACCCAAAAGCTAGGAAAACCATCAAAATCCGACTCCAACACGCATCAAATGCGTGTTGAAATACAAACTTATCACTTAGCGTTCTTGTAATCCAGATTTTTAGCTTTGTTTGCATTGAACTTGTCTGGTTGACCACGCATCAACAACTTATAAGTGCCCAAGGATATAATTTGAAGTTCTTAAAGTCACCGACCCAAGAGAAATGGTCAAGATTGATCTTCGTTGAGTGGTCCGTAGTAAGCAATACACCATCAACCAAGAAAAGTGAAGCCAACTTCACCATTGTTAAGGGGTCCATCCTCTTTTTCGGTCTCACTTCCTCCATTTTTTCCTTCAACTCTTGGTATGTGAAACGATTGTTTCATGCTAAGAACAAATCTGCCACACCACCTTTCTCATTCTTTTTAACAAATGTGGCCCGGCTGCCTGGCTAGTGTGCGCGGGCAGTTTGGTAATTTTACAAAACTCTTGAAAATGAACATAAAAATCTCCCCTCTTGTGGAAAACCATAGCTCATCCACGGGTTTTCGCCGCACCAGCCGCAACAATAACATGTGGATAATCTACCAAAAAATGTAGGTCTGGAGTGTCAGCGAGATGTCCCCATGGAAGCTTCTTGAACAACTCCATTTGCGTAATGGACAAGGACGACTACAAGAGGTTTCTCAATACGCCAAAATAGGAGCAGAGAGAATATTGGGCCGGGAAATGGGACTCAATAGGAATGACCAGTTCATGCTTCTTCCTACGAATAACACAAACGAAGTCATATTTTTACACACGGGAAAACTGTCAAATAGGTCCTCGAACTTTCATAAAAAAGTCAATTAAGTCCTTCTATAGGAGACTCTGTCCAGTCGTCGCAATTTGGGGCGGTTCTCGGTGGAATTTTTTGATGAAATTTTTTGAACATCTTATTCACCAAGTCTAGTTTACTCATACCAAATTTCAGCTAAAAATTTAATCGGGAGCGCATTCAAATTAATTCGAGAACGCAAAAATGCACAGTTATCTTCAAGAATTAATTTGAACGTGTTCCCGATTGAATTTTTAGCTGAAATTTGGTATGAGTAAACTAGACTTGGTGAATAAGATGCTAAAAAAATTTCATCAAAAAAACCCACCGGGAACTGCCCCAAATCGCGATGGCCGGGCAGAACCTCCTATAGAAGGACTTAATTGACCTTTTTATGAAAGTTTGAGGGCCTATTTGACAGTTTTCCCTTTTACACACATAATGACTTACACCAAAATCACTTGTAGAGGCCAAACCGTCTATGCACAGACGTTGTATTTCAATCTTGTAGACAATATTAAAATCCTACAATCTGGCCCCTTAACGACTACAAAACTCTATTACACTGTGCTTCTCATTTCATGAAATTCAATATTCCAACTTTAAACTTCGAAAAAACCCTAATGATTTCAAAAAAAAATTAATCACCAAGAGAGACAAACAACACATCACATATTACGGACAATAGGGGATGATAGTGAACAATACTACTAACAAATGTCTTCAAGAAGTGGATGTTACCCTTTCTTTAAATCCTCAGTCATGGATGAATGTGATGTACGAACCATCATCTTGATGTGGATGCTAGACGCCTGCTTTGGAAGTGAGGTGAGGGAGGGGAGATGGTCGCTTGGTGATGATGAGGTTGTGTGTGACACCTGGGCGATAGCTTCCAATTTGGATGCTTGACGGCGAAGAACAACAACGAGGTGGGGTGAGATATGCATAGAGAAAGAGAGAGAAAACGACGAAGAAGATAGGTGGAGAGGTGGGATTTTAGGAAGAGAGTCGCACGTGGGGGGAGAGAGGTGGGAAAAAAATACCTGATCTGATTTTTTATTTACCTTTTATATGGTGTACAATTTGTGTACATCACATGTACACTAAGCACTTTTTAGGGTTGTCACGCCCAAAAAAATGAAAAATTCTTAGTGTATATGAGTTATACACAAAATGTACGCAAAACTCCTCCAATTGTCTGTGTATACGGATAATTCATTTGGAAAGGTACAAAATTTGATGCCAAAATCTCTCTAATTGCTTGTGTACACAAACAATGTACAATTTATGTAGACACTAGTTGTGTTACGCGCGTTGCACGATGGGAAGATGCCCAATAACATGCATGACTTAATGACACTATCATGGTTTCATGTAATATTTCTTCAAATTCACAATTTAAAAAAGTTGTAATCTTCACTCAAAATGACCTAAAAACATAAATTCAACATGAGAATCTAAATTAGACTATGAATTGAAAAGAAGTTTCATATTAACAAAAACACTCACGTAAACAAATTTACAAACATCAAGAGTGCTTTAGATAGAATTTCTCTTTTCAAATTAAATATAAACAAACAATAAAATTACAAATTGTGAGCCTCTCGATTTTGACAATTACATCTTAAGTTGCAATTTTCATATACAATGTAAACTGATTCAGAACTACACTGATTTTATGATTATTAGCAAGAAAACATGTGAGAGATGAATCGCTTCTCATGTTGAAATTTAGGGAGTGTTTGTAAGAATAAAAAAACGCTTTTCCGTCTTTTAGTTTTAGAAATTTTAAATGTGTTTTCACGTGACATATTATGTTTAAATTAAGTACTAAAAAACTAAAAATTGGAAGCTGGTAGATGATGCTTTAATTTACATTGTTTTCACGTTTTCTATTATACAAAAAGTATTTTTTACAAATACTGTCAACTTTTTACTTTTTCCAAAAACACATTTTTTCAAAACACTCCCAACTTTTATTACTAAGCACATTTTCTAAAATTACTTACAAAAATAACTTATTAAAAATAGAAACAATTGTGAATGCTTTATTTACCTCGTGGATATTGGACGTATGAATTTAGTAATCTTGGCATTCCATGTCCAGTTCAATTCAATAAACTCAAGAATAAACCCAATTCATTAAACTTAAAACCACTATGTTCACTTTCTATTAAAAATTGCTTGTATACCTAGCAATGATGAGGATTGCCTCATTGGCACTTAAATGAGATAAAATATACGGAGCATGATGCATAAGATAAAATGCTAGAAGTGAGTATGGCCTGAGAAGAGAAGAGAGAATCAGATTGGGAATAACATTTATATAACGGAGATATATAACGGAAAGGGCTTAAGTGAAAGGTTTTAAGTTTTAGTCATAACATAGATAGCATAAAGTACAATTAAGTATTGCCTTTATTACAACCAACACATTTTGCATTCCTAAATAACCCTAACTCTCATTCATTTTCATAAGTTTGTAAAGAAAAGATTTTGTATACTTGGAGGATGGCCCAAAAAATGTTTCACTCGAACCGCAACCCAACTCGCCTAGCCGCGTGTTTTCTGTTTGGTTTTCCAGCCCCATGGTCCCTCCTCATTCCGGCTTCTGTCCGAGTCACACCGTGGCTACCTCTGATACACCTTTTCCGCCGTCGTGCTCGTTATTTCCCGGCGGATCCGGGTGAGTTATTTTCTACGGATGAGCCCACGATACTCTACCAATCGTTATAGCCTCGTTTTTCATTTAAATTATTTTCTGTGTATGCTTCAGCGATAGGGTTTCTCCCCCCGTTTTTAATATAGGGTTGGTTATACATAATTACACAATAAGTTAGTACCATAGTAATTACTTCCTAAGAAGACGTTATCTTGATGCAATTCGTGGTTTTATATTATAGTATGTGCCTCTCTTTGACTCTTTGTATCTCTAGGTCCTAAACACAGTGTTTGCAGTCACGGAATAAGGTGTAGTAACTAATCCTTCACCCCCACAAATCTGAAATTATGTTTTCCTTTTGTTCTAGTTTGAACCTTCAACGGATAACTGTGAGTTCAGTAGAATTTGGATTCTTATGCGTTTTTTAGCAGGGTTCTGGGAAATAACTGTAAAAGAATCCTGTTTTCATAGTTAACTTTATCTCTTATGACTTAGAACATTACAGTTAGCTCTTGAGGATACTGGGGTGAAGGAAATATGACAGTTTCTATTTTTGTGCCAATTAGAATAACCCCAATAATTTCAGATGCATGCCAGGGTGAATTGGTTTGACTTTATTTCTTTCCTTATATATGGATTTTTAATCCAATTTCATACTAACGTAGAATCTTTATAGTTGGCGTTGGTGGGTCTCATAGGCCCTTACTTTAAAAACATCTTTTCAATGTCCCAGTTTTGCTACATTTGGTTTGTGGATCAGGAGGGAGATTTGACTCAAACCAGTTAAATTACTTGAAAGCAAGTGCAACTTAACACCAACACATTAAACTGTTCTGTAAACATCCTTTTCAAGATACCATAACGCATGTGAATCACATGACGCTAATAAACATTATGGAAACTTCTTGACAACTCACAGTACTTGAGTCGCATGTGTGGGATCCTAACCTATTTATGTGAGTGTTTTAGAGTTCATTCTTCCTGTGTGGAACGTAACTCATAGTACTCTTTTTCTTTCAAATTCAGGAAGAGCCCTTGTAGTTTTGCATTTCAAATCAACTTTGTTTTTAGCAAATACCAGAGTATACTTATGTCTTTTTGTGCTTTTGATTTTCTTTTCTTTTTATTAGTCTTGTGAAGCATTGATGAAAACTCTATGCTACATCTGTTTTAACTTTCACTCTGGTAATGAGCTTGTCTTTCTCTTGTATCCCGTATTTGCTTTTCAGAGGGTGCATTTGTTAAAGACCTGTCTTGCTGTTTAAGGTTGGACACATTTGCTTTGGAAGTCATGGGCAGCACATTTAATCCTCAGATCTTAGTGGATAAGCTGGCTAAGCTCAACAGTTCACAGCAAAGCATCGAGAGTATCCTGGAATATTAGTTTAAGCACTCCCTTTGTCTCATTTTGTATGACTTCCACGAGTAACAAGGACTGCCAAAGTTATTGTATATATTTAATTAATATCATATTAGCAATTAAAACTATTTATTTTTAAAAGTTACATGAAATTTTGTACCTAAGCAGAACAATCAAATTTGGAAAAAGTAAAGTTTGTTAAAGGAAAACCAAGAGAGAAAGAATACTCAGTTTGATTGATAAATGCTAAAAAAATTATATTAGTGAGACAGGAGTAAGTTAATTTTTTGTAGTTTCTCTGTTTCTGCCAATATCATTTTTAGCATTTGATATATATCATTCCCGACTCCTGATATTTATGACTGTTATTTACATGGAGTTACTCATTTGGTAATTGGTATGTATTTAAAAAAGAAAATGCCCTTGACACCAACAAGCTCTATCGCATTGGTGTATTTTTCACATGAATAAAGCAAAACAAGTTGTTGAAACCTGGGAACGCCAATTTCATTGTTCCCCACGTGAGCAGCGTTTGGCTTTTCTCTATCTTGCAAATGATATTCTTCAGAACAGCAGGCGCAAAGGTTCAGAATTTGTGGGTGAGTTTTGGAAGGTTCTTCCTGGGGCTCTGCGCAAAGTAATTGATAGCGGGGATGAATTCGGAAGGAATGCTGCGCTACGGCTGGTATGAATTTATATTGTACATTGTTTTTTCTTCAGGATAAGTGTTCACACTTGTAGATTGCGTATTAAACATGGAAACAATATTTAGGTAAAAATATATGGACCGAAGCAGGCCAAATGTGTGTGTGTTACCAATGCCATATGAGTTGTGATGGTTATGGCTTGACATTGCTGTTTTGGTTTTGCCTAATTGTCAGTACACAGAAGAATGAGAAGATTGGAAAGATATTTACGATTCCAGTCAACCCTAGTTGCTTTTTCAGAATCACAATAGATTATAAAATTACCTTATGATTAATGTCAAGGTTGTTAAGATTTAAGACCAAGGTTGTTAAACTCAAGATCCTTGCTCAGATCCAAAGGGGTCTAGGAGATTGTAACTCGATGATCGTAATTCGAATCTTAAGACCCTAGAATCAAAGCTATCATGCACATATGTATGTAATTATATGTCAATATGTGTGTGTGTATGTATGTAGATATATATTTAGACTTAACACTTTTCAAATATTAATAACATAATGTCATTTTCTTAATGGTACAAAATAAAATCAAAAATACAAATATGGAAAACGAATTAAAAATACTCAGCTTGTAAATAAAAATTCTTAAGTCTTAGAAGATTATACGGAGAAGGGACAAATGTGTTTTCTGAGGAGAAGAAGAAAACAAGTGTTGCAGAATAGGAGAACGGCAGAAGGCGAACCTGAAGAAGGTGTCATTTGGGTCTTTGTAGATCGTTATTTTTTTCAAACTTGAGTCATTTCTGCTCAATCTGCATCCTTTCCGATTTCTAACCCTGAGTGTCATTTTGGAATTCCGTCCATGTGTGTCGTATTCTTTCCCTACGATTCCGCGATCTAACGAGTTGACTCGTCGATCCGGCAATCTCTCTGCGATTTCTGATCCAAGCTACGGTCCAGCTCAACCATATACCCACAACACTTAAGATCGTTCGAGTTACAAGTTAACTCGCGGTCTTGATAACCTTGATTAAGATGTTATTTTATGTTTGTTTTTTGGATGGGATCCTAGTTTCTTTCCATTTAAATGCTTAATCTTTATATGGTGTTGCTCTTGCCATAAATTAATTTAGCCTCCGTTCATAAGTAGCACATATGCAATCATTTGTTGTTGTAATAATTTGCGTTGAATAATACAACTATATTAGGAATGCCAATAATTTACTTCGTTTTCCATATATATGATCTTCAGATTGGTATTTGGGAGGATAGAAAAGTATTTGGCTCTCGTGGACAGATTCTCAAAGAAGAATTTGTGGGGAAACAGGGTGATAGTAGCTGTAGAATTGAGAAACCCTCTGGATTCAGATTGGTATATCAGTTTTTCTCTAAATACATTTTTTAGGATTTCGTTGCTGACAATTAAATAGATAACAGACCCAGCCATCTTACTTTTTTTTCTTTTTCTTTTATAGAGGCCGGTTGGAAATGGACTGGACAAAGTAGTTTCGTGTTATCAGGTGCTATATGGTGGCCAACTAGATGAGGATGCTTTACTAACTAGATGTAGAAATGCAATAAACTCAATTGAGAAAATCGATAAGGCAATTGAAGGTGACCTTAATTCAGGTATGTCCCTTCTTTACTTCCTTGCCTTAAGCATATATATGAATATATATATATATATATATATATATATATATATTCATTTATCTATTAATTCACTTACTTTTCAAATTTATTTATTGTGTTTTGACTTTCAAGTTGTTCTTTGATAAGGTTTCGGTTTGGCATGACATGGTTTTTTATAAATCACTTTTGTTTTTCTTTTGACTTCCAAAATTTACCTTGTGATATGTAGTCGAGCGTAATTACTAGTTGGTGGTGGTAGTTGGGGATATTAAATGAGGCTAGTAAAGTAACAACTTTTTCTTTTACCAATTAAGGGGAATACTCTAATTGGGGTTGGCAGAAAAAGAAAGTACGTAATTTGTTTAGGGACAAAAGAGGTATATATGTATCCTGTAATAATTTTAGCCGTGTCTCGAATAATTGAGTTTCCGCTTTCAGTTTTTTACGCAAGTTTTGTATGTATGAACCATCCTTGTAATGTCTTATTATGTACGTAGTAATAATTTATGACATGAGATGTTTGACGTACTCTTGGATTGCCTAAAGTATTTAGGGACCATCTTTGTAAAATTTTAGCTCAAATTGTTATATTTTTTGTGTTTCTTTAATATATTGTAAAAGGACACATTCACGAATCTGGATGTGCACATGAGCTGAAGGAGCAGCAGGAAATTTTGAAGGATTGCATTGAGCAGCTAATAACTGTTGAAGCATCTAGATCAAACCTTGTGTCGCAACTTAGAGACACTCTAAGGGAACAGGTTGATTTCCTAGTTTCATCTTATTTGTATATAACAATTATTTGATATTTGTATTTTCACTTCTGATTGATGACGTTTATGTTTTATTAAACCAGGAATGTAAACTAGATTCAGTCCGCAGTGAACTTCAGGTAGCCGATAATTCTGATTTTTTATTATTAATATACATATTGCAAATTGAGTTCCCGTTTGGTATGTTTTTTTGGCTTTTTACCAAATACTAAATGGCCGACTGGTAGCCACTGTTTTGACTTATAAACTGGAGTTTTAGCAAACACTAATTTATTGACTGCTGAATTGGTAAACGATTTTAAAAATAGAGTTAGAGTTGTGTTTTTGGCTGAAGTTTCTGAAGATAGTCATTTTAGTTTTTTATGTGTCTTTTTGTCTTTATCTTGTGACTCTTGTCAGTAAAAACACATTTTAAATACCGTTTCATCAATTCCAGCCAAATTTCTCAGATTCTTCCATTATATGCCTTACCAAACGGGCTCTAAATCGGTTTAGGTACATAAAACATGAAGGGCGGGCCCGACACGAATGGGTACGTCCTTTTTCAGTACGCCTGCAGACCTTATCCATGTTGGTATAACAACTTGAAATGGTGGTGCGGTGTCTTGTTTGTGTTTGTAGGCTGCTCAGTCACGCTCAGAACAAGCGTACAATATAGGCAACCGGTTGCAAAATGGTGATGACAACATGCTGACATTGGGCGAGCAAGGTTGGAGTAGTGGTGGTCCTCCTTTCCCCCCTTCTCAAACGACTCACAACGGAGAGCAATCAGCTCCTGTAATGTACACCCGCCAGTTAGAAAAGCCCGCTCTCCACCTTGAGGAAGAAGATCCCAAGTCTGCAGCAGCAGCAGTTGCTGCCAAGCTGACCGCCTCAACATCCTCTGCCCAGATGCTGACCTATGTCCTCTCTTCTCTTGCGTCAGAGGGCGTAATTGGAAATCAAACGAAAGATTCCACCTGCAACAATTATTCTCCTGCTGAGAAGAGGGCAAGACTGGAAGTCGAATATGTTCCAAATGAACAACCTCCTCCCCCGTCATCTCCCCCGCCACCTATGCCCCCTCTACCCCCCATGCAACCCTACCCTCCCTACCTGGAAAACCAGAGTGCAGGTTATAGTTATCAACAGGTCCTTCCTCCTATCAATGGACTATTGCCCTTTTCAGCTCCTTCGGGAAATGTTTTTCAGGTTTATCATCCATCTGATGGTACTTTCTACGCTCCTCCACAACCGGCCTTGCCGATGGCCCATCCGGCAGCCGGCAATAAGATGTGATAGAAGTGTTTGTGTGTGGAGTGTGAGGACAAATTGACGTTAGGAATTTGAGGATGTATCTGTTTTGTCTTGTCTGACATATATATACACATTACACAGACACCCATTATTAACTTCTTTTATACTTACTGAACTGGCGGACATAGACTAGAAGTAAATATTTGTAGCTTGTACTTTGTATTGTTTTCATATTGTTGTACTTGATAGTTTTTTAAATGGAAACCGTAAGTCCGTAATACTCTATAATCTATATATCCAAAATAATTGTAGCCACAACAACTAACAATTCAAATGATCGATGTACATTTTCGTGTTGGCCATGTACGCTGAAGGCTATGTTAATTCTTAAATTCAGCTAATAGTTTGATAAGTAGCCCTGTTTGGCCAAAGAGCTAAAATCAGCTGAAACTGAAAAATATGGACTGAATTCAAACGTTTAAGCACCAAGCGTTTCTATTCAGTCTCTGGTTCACTGCATTCCTCTGACCAAACTATCCCTGATGACAGTAGACTTGGCATATTGCAGGACACCGCTATGCTCTGGAATTGGATTTTACCATCGATATTGTAATTAGAGCGTAGGCATACCTAGCTATCAATTGAGATGTACATCTAGCTTGAGTATGGGACATACGTATATCTTAATTGAGATGGGACACAGTTGGTCATCATCTGCAAGTAAATTGCACTTCCTGGCACATCCCTTTTTGGAATCTTCATTATATATGTGTACATATATTCATTATTTATTTATTTATTTACTATTTTTATTTTACTACTACTATTATTATTATTGATATTATTATTATTATTGCTTATATTGAGAGAGAGTGAAGGTAAAAGGAAAATGGTAGGGAGAGAGTGAAGGTAAACGAAAATGGTATCTAATGTGAGAAGTGTGAAATTTTCACTTTTATTTTCGTACGATAAGATTTTTTTATCCTTACTATATACTCCGTATTCGAATTCGTATAAGACCATTCGAATTCGGAAAATTCAAATACAAATACAAATAAGAATATTAAATTGAGAAATTACCCTAAATAGGACTAAAAGCACTTCTATATTCCAAAAATAGGACTGTCATGTTTCTATTCCCAAAATAGGACTAATTACTGCCATGTTTTGGCAGTACCAGGCTTTAAAGATGACAGTATTTTCCAAACTTGACAGTAATTACTTCTATTTTGGGGGAAAAAACATGACAGTCCTATTTTGGAATTTTCAAACTTATTTAGTCCTATTTCGGGAACTTTCCCTATTAAATTTGATTCGAGTTGTTATCAAATACAAATAAGAAAATCAGTGTATTCGATTCGAATATTAATCAAATATATTTGATTAATAATAGTGGTAAACTGGTAATATTAATAATAGTATTAATAATAATAGTAATAACACTATAATAACTTGTAAAAGATAGCAATACTCTCAAAGTATAGCCCATATATACATTTATGCATACAGATTCCAAGCCCATTTGTGATAAATCAGAATATAATTACAAATACAAATCATTTTTTTGGTTCAAAAGTCTTTCAAAGACAATATATATAATTATGTATTTGATTCGAAGAATAAAATTAGAGTCGTTTGACTTTAATATATACAACTATCAACTCATTTCACACATTATAAGTATATTTTCTAATATGTGTGTCAATGTGTGTGTGTTAGTATTTATTTCAAAAAGTTTGAAATAGATTTATATTTAGTAATCATAAAATTGATTCACTTTAGTATATCGTGCACAATCTAAAAGCTTCCCATTCTCTTATCTTTGCATTCACTTTGTTTCGGACTGAGAGCAGATTCCTTGGAATAGCAAACTCTGCCTAGTCCTCAGTCAGCTTGCAATCCAGGTAGTTGAGAATTGCTTCAGATGGAGTTCTGCCAGGAACAATCTTTCTATCTGACCATTCAATGGCTTCTTTGAAAGAACCTCCAGAACCAATTTGGACAAACCAATCGTTGTCAAGATAGAGGTTTTCCTGTTGGAGAGGAGTCAGTTTCTTCTTCATTTCTTCAAATTTGACTCTTTCTTCCTTAGAAAGTCTGTTGTTTGCCCAGTCTAGAGAAAAACCACCAGACTTCTTCTTGGTTGGTTTTGGGATGGCAGGTGGCATTGAGGGGCCAACAACTGCTCTCTTCTTCAATCTGTGTTGCTCAAAGTAAGTAGCTGGGTCTGGAGTAGATGCTCTGGCAGGTTGGAGTTGAAGAAGCTTAGGTTGCTCAAGGTCCTCTTCCCCCTTTTTGGCATCATGGAGGTCCTGGTGGAGGATGAAGATCTTCTCGAACTCAGAGGCATGAGCTTTGCCTAAGTCTTCAATAGCAGTAGGAAGGATTTCTGTGACTTGAGCTAGAGAATCTAGCAAATCTTTCTGTTTCTCCACATCAGTTGCTATAGTCTTCGTGTTGCTCTCAAGTAGAACTAGTTTGTTGTAACGTTCTTTGTCAACAGCAGCAGCAACTTCTGTTTTCTTCATGTTTTCAGAGCAGAGGGCTTCTATTCTGTTGAGCTGCTCAGCCCTCTCGCTGTCAGAAGCCTTCAATACATCAACAGAAGAGGCCAGAGAGGAGATAGCCTTTTCTTGAGTATTGAGGATATCTTGAACTGAGGTCAGGGCCTTCTGAATTCCTTCTACAGAAGTGGTAAGAGACAGAAGATCAGAGTTGACCTTTGTTGCAAAACCTCCAGCAGCTTGCAAGAACTCCCTGAACTCCTCATTTGGAACTTCCTTTTCATAGCCCAGCATTTTGAGTCTTCGAATAGTAGGTCTTCTGGGATCATGCTCTTGGGCAGAGGAGCCAGACTTCTGTTGGTACCTGGGAGGGGTCTTCTCTCTTTTGGAGATAGCAACATTGGGGTTACTATATAAGAAACCACCATGTCCATAAACCCTTTGGAAGGTAGATGACTCATCATAACTTGAGTAGTAGGGCACAACATCCCTGTTTACCTTCTGCTTTCTTGTCATGGAAGGTTTTGAGGCAGTATAGTGCCTAGAGTAGCCCAGTGGTGCTGGAGTGACAGAAATGGTCTTAGGGTCACAGGAGCTGTTGCTTCCCTGTTGATGCTGGTTGTGAGGAGAAGGAGGTGGGGGAGATGGTGATCTGGATTTGCGGGGTGTGAGCTGTTTGCAGGGTGAAGGGTGTCTGGAGGAGGTCTTCTGAGGTGAGGGAGTTGGAGTTTTCTTTGGTGAGGTGTTTTTGGAAATGGATTTCTGAGGTGAAGGGGTTTTCTGGTTAGGTTGTTGGGAGGATTGAGTGCTTTGCCTGTGAAGAGACTCATTGGCAGAAGCATAAGGTGTTGAGGCTTTCTGTGGTGGTGATGGTGGTTTAGAAGATGATGAGGATGAGGGTTTCTGTGATGGAGACTTGGATTTTTGTTTGGGTGAAGGAGAGGGATGGGGTGTTGTCTCCTTTGGTGGTGAGGGAATGTGGACAATAGGAGATGCAGGAGGAGTATGAATAACTACCTCAAAATTTTTATGCTGAGCCCTTCTCCATTCTGCAATGAGTTCGGCAAGAACTACATTGGCATTCGATGGTTCTCCACCCAGACCTTTCTCCTGATGGTTAGGGTCAAGAGACTCCTTCAAGGTCTTCTCCATCAGCCAATCATCAAACAGAGGCCTTTCTGTGTCAGTCAGAGGAGCAACAACATCTACTGTTGGAGAGCTTGTGCAGATTGCTTTGCCCTTGTAAGCCTTCTTCTTTTCAGCTGGAACTGAGAGTAGGAAGTTCTTGTCTAAGCACTGCTCTACATCTTCCGTTCCCACCCATTTGAGGACTTTTACTTCCTCAACCTCATAAAATGGGAACATCCTCAGAATTTCAGAGAGGGGGGCAACTCTCCACTTCCTCCATGCTAGAACTCTCTCAAACTGCCTATCCAGGGCATTGAGGTAATCAATCTGAAGTACAGAGGTCTCAGGGGTTCTGTTGGTGACCTCTTGGTGTTCTGGGGAAGAAACCACCAAAGGTTGTTGTACTTCTTCAACAAAGAGGGGACTATTCTGTTCCCCTGAGCATCAGCAAGTGAGGTAGAAGAGGAGATAAACACTATCTTCTTACCTTGCCAAGTGGGTTGTTGAGGCTGTTCTGTTGGCACAGAAGCATCAAGTTCCTCCTGAACTTGAGGCTCTTCTTCAGACACATGGATGACAGGCGTCATCTGCTTCTTCTTCTTCTTCTTCTTCTTCTTAGCTATAGGAGCAGCAGAAGGAGTGGATTCATCAAAAACAGAAATGGGTTTCTTTCTCTTGGTGACAAGCTTCTTTGTCACCACCTTCTTCACCTTCTCCGGAGCAGCCTTCGTGGTGACAACTTTCTTCACGACCTTTTGAGCCAGAGGGATTTCATCCTCTGAGTCTGCATCAGAAGGAGTGGGGGCCTTCTGTTGCTTCCTCTTCTTTGGTCCATCAGGTTTCTTAGGCTTGATGGCCTTCTGTTGCACCTTCTTCCTGGCCAACTCAAGCTTATTCAAGCGTTTCTTCTCTGCCTTGAGGCTATGTCTCTATCCTTGGATGTGGTAAGGAAGAGGAGCTTGGAGAAGTCAGTTTTTATAGGGTCTCTCAGTCCCACGCCTGATTTGACTAGCAACTCTGATAGCAGAAGCCCATAGCCCATGGGTGTGTTGAATAGATTGGTTTCCTTGTCTTTCTTATTTATGAATTCAATGAGAGATTTGATTATCACTTGTCCCCAATTAATGTTCATTCCATGAAGAACTGCGTAGATAGCCTTTGCATTCTGAACGGTCAGGCCATCAGTAGACGTGCTCTTGCTCCATACACATCTGTGAAAGATGTTCACCAGCTTTTCAAAGTCACTTTGAACCAGGTGTTTCTTGTTAAGCTTTGTAATTTGACCAACTTTTGGTCTGCAGTAGAGTTTCACAAAGTCCTCGATAAGTAACCTGACTTCATCTAGGACGACGAAGCCTTCATCATCCTCTTCTTGGTTCTCCTGTACTCCAAATAGTGCGTTGATGGTGTCCGGAGAGAGGATGGTGTCATCACCATTGACATGTGAGCAAACAGTTTCACCCTCAATGGTGCCGTTGAGATAGAACTCAATGATGTCCTTGTTGTTGTACTCTGAGAAGTGATAACTGACCACTTTATCCAGCTGTGAGTCCTTCATGCCCTGGATAATTTTGTTCATGGTTTCCTGGTTTGCAGCCAGTTCAGGAAGTGCGGACAGGTCGCAGTTCATCCCGGTGTAGATATTTTCCATGAGGGTATCAATTTCCTTAGGGGCGAGGTCATTGATGTTGATGAAGGCCATTTCTGAGAAGGTTGGAAGTTTGAGAGATTG